TTTGCATATCTAATACTATGAGAGGCAGGAGCCAGCAATTTATGGTAAGTGAAGCTAGAGTATAGACCTGTATTTTGCATGTTTCAATTCGAGTTTAATTTAGCTAGTAAGAAAATGGCATCATTTATAAGAAAAAAAGTGGTCTAAGTTACCCCATTTTACGGTACCATCATACATACATTCATTTTTAGCATAGCTTTCATCTGATGCACTTCTGGAGTGTCCTTTCCCTCCATTTCTTTCTTCCACGCCTTCAGCCCAGAGTCTTTCACTAGCTGATTTATTTCTCTTTTACAACACTTCTCTTTAACTTTAATTCTTGTCGAGTGCTTGTTTGTCTGCTACGAACCTTATGAGCAATATTTAACACACTTCTACCTGTCCGATCGATCTGAAATTTTGCACATTTGTATAAATTTGGAGACAATGCATGAATCAATTGACAGAATAAATAATTTTAAAAAGTGAAAAAAAATTTAAATATTAAAAAATTTCTATATAATTTTTTTTAATTCACTGTTTTCTTATGAACAGACTATGCATATATATAAATGCCATAAAAGAAAGCAATTTTCACATTTTACCTGTGGCTTGGCAAATGAAGCTTTAGCCATAACTTTTTTTTATAGCTTTTAGAATTGGTCTATTCATAAAGAATTTTTTTTTGTGCAAAAAAGGTGATTCACTGCTCCAAAGTCTATGAACAGGAGGATCAAAAATCCAGTAGTGGCTTAGAAAGTTTTGTCTCTCCATTCTGTTAACAAATTTTTGAGCCCTTTTACTTGGCTAAATTATGGTTGAGATGTTTTTATTAGAAACTTCCAAGATTCTTTCATTAAAAGTAGTAATCAACAGGCCAGATTTGCAGGCATTCTTACACTAAAATGTAAGTATTAAAATGTCTGAAATGTGTATTGCCTTTAGTAGGCAATATCATATCTGAAAGCCCACCTTGTCCCTCAATTTATGTTCCAGACTATTTATCATGCCTCTGCTTATTACAAATTATCTGCACATCTTTCTGTGCTTAGTTTTGGGTTTCATAGGTAGTTTTCCTGGTTAAATGTTGCTACTGTCAAATTTTGGTATAAATTCTTGTTGAAAGGTGATCAAATGATATGATGCAGCTTGTCATTTTCAAACTGTTGAGGCCATTGGTGTCTTGAGCCCTTTTGCAGGAATTTCACTAGTACAGTGCAACAAGCTGCTATTGCACACAACAGGTCATGGTAAAAATTATTAGTACAAGCAATGTGAATCTTTATATACTGGATCTTGAAGGCAAGGTGGAGAAAACATTGCCAGTCTTTTTGTATTGTAGGAGCAAAACAATAACACCAGCTGGTTACAACTGTTCCAGCCAATTCCACCATTAATTTCCTGACATGAGGCATCCTGACCAGAACAAATGGGAATCACCTGAATCTTGAATAGATTTACCCTTTAACTGGGGGTGACTTCATGCTTTGCTATGGTATTATTTCAGTTACATGTATGATATTGGTTAAAATTGAAATAATTATTAATCATGTGAGTAATATTGGTATTAAATATCCCACATGCTTGCACAGCTTTAGCTTACCTGCAGAAAACTTCTTGCTGTTATTTCAGTCTGGGTCAGGATTATATGCTGTTTGATGAACTTTTCCATTAAGCAATCTTCTACAGAGTGCTATATTTAATTAAACATCCTTTGCACCATGCCAACAGTAATTACTCTAGAATGCAGGAGAAGGGTGGCTACAAATTGCATTTTTTATCTCATAATTTTGATGCAAGGTTCTTACATTTCTCATAGGCACATTGTTATGATCTAGGTATTTATTATCATAAATGGCATCAATCCATCAATTATAAACTAAAACTATTGTGGTGTTCAAGGGTCACCATTGGCCATAAAGTATTAATCAACAAATGTAAAGTTTGTCCTACATGTGTGCCATTTTTTTGGCCGTCTGCAAAACCAAACATTTTTTGGCCTTCCCATGTCCAGAAAACAACTGCCACTAAAAAGGTTGAATATTGGCTAGTTGTATGAATAGCTTTTCTAATGATAGCCTAAGGTAACTATATTTTTTTTCATGGTTGCAACAATGTTTGGTTCCTATCCAAAGCACAGCCCTCTTGGGGTCACAAAAACTTAATTTTTTTTCAAATTATCCAACCACCAGGGTTTTATTGAAAAATTGGTTTTTCTACTTCTGTAATTTATCAGTAAAATATTTGTGGCTTTCAATGCGGTTATTTGCTTTTGCGTGCATATCCTTATAAATGCTAACAAACAAATGACACTCCAACTTAGGTTCTAGTTTATTCTACAGCAAATGTACATACGAGATGATTGCTTTCTGGGTTGTAGAATTAGCACCATAGTGAGATTTTGGCAAGTTAATTTGACAAAATAATTTCTTAAAATGAATTGGACTTGCAAGAAATTAAATTTTATTAGGCAAGGAATTGATTATAACTATATGTATGGCTTATTTTGATACATTGATACATTAACATAATGTGTTCAGGAATTCCCTTGCTGCCAGTGAGAATCACTGTGCCAACTCTTGTGTTTCATCTGATGCTGGTCTCAGATTTAAGATGAAAATTCTTAAATTTTTTTTGGTTCTTGATTATATTTTGATAGTGAAAGCCTTATTTTCATAAAATTAATTTTCATTTGATTCTGTTCTTATGTTAGAAAAATTTTCTCCTGAATGTTATTCAAATTTTAATGAGTAGAAAAATATAAGCAATATCTTCTTGCAGCACACAACTGAACCACGCATATCAAGCCTGCAGAACTTGTATAATGTATTGACCTGAAGTATGTATAAAATTTATATGCAATACAACATGCTGCAATTGACCCTGTTCAATTTTGGGCACATTACACATTTTCAATTTATTAATTTAATTTAAATTCAACTGATGACATTTATGCAATGGCAAGAATGATGAGACCTCAAATCCATGTTATTTGCATATTTATAGCTGGGAAAGTTTTTATTTGTAGTGAAAACTGGGTTTCAAATTCTGCAAGCCTGAATTTGATAATGGAGTGTATTCTTTGAAAAGCAGAAAAAGTTTATAGGGTTAACAATAAAAAGCGAACAACCTAATTTTTTGGATATCTAAAATATTAGACTAAGTTAAATTGTGAAAGCAATTTGAGGTCCTCCAATCACTCCAGTGATATTGCCCCATCTTCTGAATTACCTATGTCACAGAATTAAGGAATGGCTTCAAATCAGTATGGATATATGGGATATATTTTATTTGACAATGCATAGTTATCAATGTACCTATATAATGCCTTAGTTGCAATGCCTTAATGAACTTGACTGTTGTTGCAGAAATTGAGTCCCACCAATGTGAATTCCATTTTCTAGCAGAGGTTCGTATTTAGAACTGTTCCACTATTCAATATCAGGATTCTGGCCTGAAATCATCTATGAAAGACAAGCCAGCTGCCTGGATTTATGATGGTTTTCAAACCACTTGAAGTTATCAAATGATTTCAGATACAGAGAATTTTGATGCAGCAAATAGCTTGTCTTCAAAAACCTTGTTTTACTTTTAAATTTGTTTTGTATATCATGTGTGAGTCAATAGTAGAGTACACAAGGGCACTTATTCTCTTGGTAGGCAGCATTGTTGTACTGTAAACGGGTTGATTTGGACCAGTGACGAGTTGATGTGGACCATTTTTAGCGCTTACCTTTTTGTGTTACAAATGGTCATATAATAAATATATAAAAATCTATCTCTTTATTGCATTTATAGGCTATCTCATGGTACATCAAGAGCCATCAAAACAATTTTTCTGGAGCAAGAACTTTTTCAGTATAGGGTTTTCTTTTCTTAAATGTCACAATGGTGAATGTTACCACATTTTACAGTATGCAATACCAACATCTTGAAGATTATCTAGCTCGTGTCACTATCAGGAATTAATCTCCTAATTAGAAATGGGGCATTTAATAACCATCTTTACTAGTTACTACTGGCTTTGCTTCTTAAAGTCTTGGCTGAAAAATATTTGCCTGTGATAGTTAACACATCCTGAGCTGTCATTGCCATTATTTTTGAAACCTTACATGTGAAAATATGAATATACTTGTAATCTATTTTCCAGAATTTGCCACTGATGCCTGGCTATTGATACCAGTGTAATAGAAAATGACACCTGGATTATTAAGTTAGATAGCATATGTATTTATTGTGCCAAAAAATGTGGAATTGCTGATTCTATGGAGCCGGCAGCCAATTTTCTGAATCCTCAGAATCAGCATTTCTACACTATAGGAATCTGGGGTTAGGTCAGTCAGCCAAGTATTTTTTAAATATTTAAATATAAAGGAACTTTATCTAATCATTTCTAAATGTAACTGTTGATTAATGTTCTTACTTTGACTCTAACATCCGATTTCCTGAATCGACAACAAAATGCTGTTTCTACAGATTCGGCAAACTGTCCGCCAATTCCATAGTATAAGCACTTCCACCATTTTGACACAACATGTACATGTGCCACATGCTTGACTACTATTGAATTTTATTGACATTTGATTGACTAACCATGTTTACTATGTTTCTAAAATATGCACAGTATGAATGACATCATCCTGAGTCTTGATGCAGAAAGTTGTATTGGAGTTCACATGAAGAACGGGCCTTACCAAGCTATTATACATTTATGAAAGTATCTATATACCTAATAAGAAATAATTTAAATTTCATGATCCCAAGTTCAATCAGTTTAACTACTGTTTTTCTAAAATTAATTCAATGATTAATGAATGACTACAACTTAGTGGGTAAGATCAAGAAAAGCCAGTAGGTAATAATGAACAATGTTCTATCACATCAATCAAGATTATTTTTAAAAAGAAATTTCTTCTGTTGATGTGCTATAGGTGCCCCATAATTCTATTAATAACGTGAAATTGATTCATTATTATTGAACATTTATTCTATGGTAAGAGAGACTGCATTCTTTTTTTTTACTTGACAATATTCTGAAATAAAGTTCTTGTTTTTATTTGCAGAAACATATGATTTTAACACATATCAGAAGCTGACTTGAATTTGGATTGGATTGATTTTAGTATAAATATTATTAATAATTAATGCTAGTGACATAAGTATATAGACAAGTACAAAGAATGGACTCTTCAACAAATTAATCTTATTGACATTAGTAGCCAGATAATGTCTAGGAACGAGCTCCTGGGGTTGACCAAGACCACCAACAAGGAGCACTCAGCCAAAGCAATGGATTCCAGCACCTCAACCAGTGGTAAGTGAACTGTGTCATGGGGGGATTTGTAGCTTCAATCAACATGCATGGAAACAACCTGCCATCACCTTATAGCATCAATCAAATCTTATTAATAAGAATAGATTAAAGCTGCAAATTTTAAAAAGGGCATTTAAAATCCTTATATAAATTTCATCCCTTAACTTGAAGGAGTCCTACTGTTGGTTGTTGGACAATTGTAATGATGGTATATTGCAGTGACTTTACTTTTAATTGTCAAGACTCTCAGCAATTTATAATTTTCAAAGAAGATCACCAAAAAAAGGTTAAAAATATGGTTAAAAGTTTAAAATGCATGATTAATATTGAGTAAAAATTTTTAAAAATAGAAATGAGCTTCTTAAAATATACTTTTTGTAGATGAGAAAACAATTCTAATGTAGGGATCATTTTGCTATATTAATTTAATCTTTCTTTTATCAAATATATTTGTTTAGAGATTCTACTGTATTTGTTGAAAATCATATCCAGTTTTAAAAAAGTTGATCAATGTACTTGAATTTGAGCAAATGCCATTGTGATGTATTGCATTCAATGATGTAATTCAATTGTCACAGGCGAGATGCACCAGAGCTTCAAGGAGATGCTGGAGAAGTTGGCCTCATCTGCCTCTGGCACGAGTCTTGCTCGCTTGGATGTTATGGCTTCTATGCCTCCCAAGCCCACTAATTTTGTGGCTAATCCTCTGCTTATGAAGAAGCACAATGCATTTGTTAGTATTACCTATATCTATGAGTGTCTTTTTAATGATTTAGTTACTGGCTTTTTGCTATTCATAATTTTTCTGCACTAATGAATTTTCTAAGTTAAATCAAAGTTTTTTGTTATAAAGTATGTTGAAATTATGTGCATGGACTAAGTTGATAATTATTAACCAAATAAAAATGAGTTAAAAGTTGAGTAACTATTGTCTGAAAATGCTTGACTTTTATTTAAGTGTTTAACTTTTAAAAATATTACTGAAAAAGAGAATTAATTTTATAATTTTCCATTTTGCTTTTTGAAAGTCTCGCTAACATTTTATTGGAATTGATTGCATTTAGTGTAGGCATTTTGCCTGATGTGTAATGCATATGTATACTCAGGTGGAGATAACCGAGCAACCTAGCGACTGCGGGCTCGAGAAGCTGGCTGATGGCACTGAGGGTTCAGGCACCATAAAAGGCCTCAACAGCACACTTTCTCACACCACCTGCCCTGCTATAAGAGTCAGTCTCAAGTCTATTGGGCATGCATAATTATAATTTTTTGTTTAATCCGTTGTTGTGAAGCAACTTTTAGACAATTTCTTTTCACTTGAGATTACATATATTAGAAGCTAGATGAAGATTTGAATCATTGGATGCTGTTAGAAAGTAATGAAGCCACATTTGGTATGGGAAGAAGTGCAAGCACAAATTTACTGACTTACTACCATCAACAACTTTTTCATGAGACCTCACACATTACAGAACTTTAGGCTAATTGTAATGCATACCGGTACTTATTATTAAAAAATGTAAAATATACTGGACAAGATTAAATTATGTCATGTTCAAATATAATTTTATTGTGACTCTACATGACAATGTAACGTAAAATTCTCGGTCAACATTAGCCATGCATCACCCCCTATGTATACATCACTCACATTGACCATTTTCTCCACTGTCACTATTTTGGTATGATTTAAAAAAAACAATCTTCATTCAATTCCTTTAGAGCAAGTGTGCTTGCTCAGCAATGCATGTTATAATGGTCATTATTAATCTTACTCTGAAATATCAAGATGTTTCCATTGAAATTTGATTTCTTTGTAGAGAAATGTGCTGGAATTTCTTCCTTTTATGTGAGGTGGACTGTGAACGATTGCCTGGAATACTGCGATTGATTTCTTTACTGCCTAACATAGCTTAATGTGCTTAGCTTGACATTTCATTAGTGCCTGTATTTACAATGGCTATTGTGCATAACTGCTGTATGGCAGTACATCAAATGTCAATAGAAGTTTAGCTTATTTTAATCTAAGTTGTCAGTTTGTGACAAGCTCATGAAAATAACTTTGTATGCTTGATTGTTTCTGAATATATTTTCCATTAATAATATTCAGCTAAATTCTTTGAACATAGAATAAAAAGATTAGTGTGGAGTCACCAATATTTCCTTAAATTCAACATTTTATGCTAAACCTTAAATGGGAATCATGTCACACGCCATAAAATTCTTTAGTTGGAGTGCATGCTTCTGTTGACGTGCATGATCCACAGGTGATGTGTCATGCTGATCTGCAGGTGATGTGTCATGCTGATTTGCAGGTGATGTGTCATACTGATTTGCAGGTGATGTGTCATGCTGATTTGAATGTGATGTGTCATGCTGATTTGCAGGTGATGTGTCATAGTAATGTGTCATGCTGATTTGCATGTAATGTGTCACACTGACTCGCAGATAATGGAGTACTACGGTCCCGCTATTGTGTTGGTGTCGTGCGTGAGTGCTGACGGACCACCTCACTACCCGCACCCTCTGGAGCTGCGCCACGAGCAGGGCAAGGAGCCTCATGGCGTCTACGTCAAGACGGTCGCGCTCGACATGACGTGCAAGTTTACTGATTTGTCTCTGGATTATGTGGTGCCGTCCTGCCATCGTGAGGCGCTTCACAAGAGAGAACAACTTCAAATAGATCCATTTCGAAGTAAGCCATTGAGCCCCAAGCGTTTTGAAATAAGTCATTGAGTTTTTTTGATTTAATAAATAATAGCATATTTTGATAACATAACCCATTGAGCGCCAAACATTTTGCAATAAGACATTGAGCTAAAAGCATTTTGAATTGATTCTTTGAGCTAAAAGCATTTTTAATTGAACCATTGAGGTTTTTTGATTTAATAAATAATAGCATATTTTGATAACATAACCCATTGAGCGCCAAGCATTTTGCAATAAGACATTGAGCTAAAAGCATTTTGAATTGAGCTCCAAGCTATTTGAAATAAGCCATTGAGGTTTTTTGATCTAATAAATAATGGCTTATTTTGATAAAATAACCCATTGAGTTCTAAGCATTTTGAAATAAGTCATGAATTTTGAATAAAGCCCAGGAGCTCCTACCACATTTCGCTATAAGCCATTTTATTTCTATGTTTATTCCTGATACTGACTTGTCGTTTCTGACTACAATTTTAATTCTTGTTTTTTTTTTTCAGCTGGGTTTAAGAAGACAGAGAACATTGATGGACCTGCGTTCCGTTTGTGCTTCCAAGTTTTCCTGGAAGGTTCCAGCAGGGGCCAGTTTACGTTCCCTCTTCCCCCGGTGGTGTCGCGGCCTCTCCATATTCCAGGTGAGATGAAGTACAGTCATTGTGATAAGAAGTATGGTAAATTTTTGCTTGACCACAATAACATTAATGGCAATAAAAGAACTTTTTTCTTGCTTTGTTTCTAGGATATTACCTATTTTTGCTGAGTTTCATTTTCATGCTATTATTTCAATAGATTGTTGACTATGCAAAGATGTTTTCTAAAAAGAGGGTAGGGAAGGATTTTGAGTCTCACTAATTTGATGAATTATCTGTAATTGTATTTATTTAGAATGTAGAAGGGTTGAGACTATCTTGTGTTTGTTTAGTCAGTGGCTGCAACACCAAAACGGACACAAGCACCGCCATGACGGGAGGGCGTGCAGACTCGCTACATCACAACACCGAGACTGCAGAAATGAAGGCTGAGTGCGTGAAGTCGAGCACCGCCACAATGAAGCTCAGTGGTGAAGCTGCACCTGGTGGTGCACCGTGCCTGGAATTGTCACATAAAAATTCCGAAGAGTCCTGTAAAGCGTCTGAAAAACGGTTAATTTCTCCTGTTGAATCTCCCTCTCTTCATGCGCCTTGTTCTCTGTCCACTGATGCATCGTCTGCAGCTCACGCTGCTGAACCAAGTGTTGGAGAGGAATCAAGTTCTGACTCTGATACAGGGCAAAATCCACATGGCGTTTCCAAAGAACAACCTTCATTTCCAACAATCTCCTTGTATGAAAGTGGCAGGTTATTAACTTTACGTCATGAAGAAGGAAGGAAAGTTCTAAATATCAAGGTAGTCGGAAATTTAGAGAAAAAAGGCATGAATTCACATAACATCCGCAAGCCTGGTTCGTTCTATATTCCTAATCACCGACGGACCAGTGTCAGCAAGAGCCCCCTGGAACAAGACGGTGAGTGCAACATACTTTGCTTCTCCTAGCGCAGCTTGATTATAATATCACAGTTGATGTATCCCATATATTAATACTCTATGTTCACTTGAGGTCTCGTAATTAAACAATTGATTAATTGAATAGTAGACCAAATAGGATTACTAATTTTGTGGTAAGAAACTTCTTTTTACAAATCGACCTTACGAGTGGCCATGTATTCTTCATGTTATGCTGTGTGTGGGACTAACGATCATTGGTTTTGATGTTGACTTCTTGATCGGTGGTTTCTTCTACGACATTCAACATCATATTACTGTCAGTTTTTTTTCAGCTCCTCTCTCGCGCTTTTATATCGTATGTTTTTTTTTGTAAACTTTTATGTTTGCCAATTGTTTTCGTGTCTGAAGTACTTCAGCCCTTCTTTGTAACTTTTATTGTCTTGAGCCTCTCTTCATGGAAGACGCTTTTGCCTGGTGCCACGGCGAAGTTATATCTTATTGTTGCGTTTTGATGTCAGGTCATGTGCAAAATCATGGATATCTGTGACCTGTCATCTTTCTTTTTGTTGTCACTTTTTTTTGTTCAACTTTTTTGTTCTCACTTCGGATGAGGTTTGTCGTGAATATTTAATTGAAAGTATATGGATTACAAAAAACTGTATCTTCTCTATTTTGTTTTAAAATGATGTAATTTTTCAGGTAAAGACGTTTCCACGTGCAGCAATTTAGCCTTAGCAGGATGGACCGATTCACCACGTCATGACGGAGTCTCTACTAAAAAGCCTTCTGATAAAGTTAACGTCTTTTCCGGTAAAGAACAGGGTGATGAAGCTAAGGTGGTAAATATCACTGAATCTCTTAGCACTGTGAAAATTGTCAAAGAACTTTCAGAACCAAGCGAGGGATCACAACGCATTATTAACACTTCGTCAGATGAAAATGAGCGCATAAGCGAGTTTTTTCAGTGCGCTAGCTCAGGGAACAAGACGGAATTATCCGCATTGCATTTACGTGGACTGAACGACTTGGCAGTGCCCCTTGTGAAGAAGGAGAAGACAAGTTTTGCTGGTGGAAGTGATGATGCTGCTTCACTTGAGGACTCGACCGAAACAATTCCTTTGGAGCGTCGTCGTGCATCAGCAACATCTGAAATGATATCAGATTTGAGCAGAGGATCTTCCCTCGACTCTTTAGTTGATTTTCCGAGTTCGCCATTGATTAAACTTCCCGCTGATGATGGTCCTTGTAAAACTGGGACGAAGAACCTTTCATTTCATGATGATTTTAGATTGGAATTGTGCCTTTCCGATATTTCTGACGATGAGTTTAGTGATGGAGATTTCAGCAAGGAACAAAGGCACTGTGGTTTAGAATCACCACCAAGTTTTAAAAAATCTGCCCGGAAATTATCCGCAACAAAACGAAAAGACTCCTTGGTGAATAATTTGTCTTCGCGCAGTGTGGAAAAAGCCTCTCCAGTTTGTCAAATATTACCCATAAAAGAGTCGACTATCGAGATGGTGCCGAGAATAGGGAAAGGCTTTACAGATCTTCATGTAGATGGTGAAAAACCTGCTCTAAATCCCAATAATTTGTTGCAGCTACAGCTCATTTTGCACGCAGAAAGAAGTGATAGCATGGTTAAAGATGAAAGAAATATATTGTCTGTTGCTGGAAACACGGAGAAAGAAGATGAGTTCACCGGTGCTGGCACAGCTTTGTCGCCTGTACTAAACCAAGAAGGCCCTACAAGCCTGGACGCTAGACAATCGCGTGCCATTCGTGAGCCTAGTCGTCTGGACAGTACGGACGTTCTTATTTCTCCTCATGAAAAATTGTTATTCAGAGGTGCTAAATATGTATCGTCATCGATAGATAACATTGACACAGTGCAAGGTAACGTTCCTATCAAGCTTAGTATTTCTGAAGTAAACTCTGGAAGCAAAACAGAAGAGAAATTTTTGAGTATGTACTCAAATGGAAAACTAAACTATCGGGAAATAAAATCTCCTTCATGCAAAGGCGAAGCAATGCAAGAAGTGATGTTCGGTGAAGTTTCCTCTACGGTTGAAATAATTCCTGAGAACGTGAAGGAGGCTAATGGTTCAGAGGAAGTGGGATTTGTCTCATGCGACTTGGAAAACAACCAGCACGTGAAATCGAATGACGGTGATAAAGTATCCGAGAATGTCGAATCTCCCGTAGATTTAATGTCGGGCATAATTCAAACACTCGTTGATTTCTCATCTGAAATTGGTCAAGATGCTGATATGGAAGTTAAGTCTGATAGTGAATCGTCCTTTTCAGATTCTTTCAGTGAAAAATTGACTGCGAGTGCCCGCGAGCTGACTTCTGTGTCGGCATTAGAAATAGACTCCAGTCGAAAAGTCCTAGTCAATGTTGAACAGAATGACGCTGGTAAGAAACTAAGCTTGCATCAGGACACGTGCGTAGCTGAAGAAAACAAGAACGAGCCCCAAAGTTCAGAACTTTCAGTAGAAAGTTTTTCGACAAGAGCAGGAAACGAGGAACTTCATCGAGATCGTTTGCTCGCCCTCTTGGGCGGACCAGACGTGGTGCTTGCGTCCGATGTGGCTACGGAGGATAGGAACTCTGGCTCTGGAAGTGAGAGTGCTGCAAGTAAGAACTTAGAATTAGCCAGTGTGGACACCCTTGTCAAAGTAATGCACGGGAAGGAGACTGAAAAACATTCAATTGGAGGTGATGCAACGTGTCGCAAAACACAGGATTGCTTCAATGGAAAACAAATCGTTATCGGCAGTCAATCTGCGCTGGAATTGGCAGATCAGCCGAATGAAGGGAAATGTCGAGAGCAGAATAGTTCAAGAATAAACAAAAACGTGAATAACAGTCAAGAAAAATGTGTTACGGAACATGCAGGCAGATGCAACAATAATGCGAAAAAAGATGATGACAGTCACGACGTGAACGCAACAGAAAATGAGGCCAATTTGGAGAAGAATGTGACGAACGGTGAACACAGTCAGATCAAGACCGCAACAAAAGGTGCAGACAGTCGGGACAAGAATGAGACAAACCATGTTGATGGCCGGGACAAAAATGCAACAAAAAATGATGCCAGTCGGGAAGGGGACCAAAATACATCGAGAGACGCTACCAGTCGAGACAAGAATACAACAAAATATGCTGACAGATGGGACAAGAATGCAACAAACGATGCGAACAACAGCCGAGATAAGAGTGACACCAAAGATACTGGCAGTCGTGACAAGATTGCAACATATGTTAATGGTAGGGACAAGAATTTCGCAAAAGATGCACGCAGTCAACTTGAGAATGCTGCGAAAGATGCTGACAGTCAGGTTAAGAATGCAACGATAGGTTCTGATAAGCGGGATGACGATGCAACTGTGAGTTCTGACAGCCGAGACAAGAATGGAATCAAAGATGCTGACAATCAAAGCAAAAATTTAACGAGAGATGCAGACAGATGGGACAAGAATGCTACAAAAGATGCCGGCAGCCGAGATTCGAAGGAAAGAAAAGATTCCAACAGTCGAGACAAGAACGCCACAGAAGATTCTGACAGAGCCACAAAAGAATCTGGCAGCCGAGACAAGAATGCCACAAGAGATTCTAACAGTCGAGAAAAGAACGCCACAAAAGATTCTGACAATCGAGAGAAGAATGCAACAAGAGATGCAGACGACAGACATAGAGCCCGAAGTGATGATTGCGGCAGGAAGAGCAGAGACAGAAATGACAGTCAAAATAAACGAAGCGATGAGCGTCGTCGCAGTGAAAGTAAAGGCAAAGAAATCATTCCTGGTAAAAACAAAGTTGATGAAACTCGTAGAAGTAAAAGCAGAAGCAAAGAAGATTGCCGAACTGAAAACGAGCGAGAAACCCGTAGGAGTGCAAGCAAAGGGGCAGAAGGTCGCTTTGATGATGGCACGAGACAAAAAGATCTGAACGAATATCAGTCAAAATGTCATCGTAGAGACAATGAGGAAGCCCTCCGAAGTAAAAGCTTGGATAAAGATTACTGTGGCCATGGGAACCAAACTAAGGGAGAGCGTCGACACAAAAGCAGTGAAAGAGAGGATCGGCTTTCTGGAAAACATCGTAATGTCCGGGAAAAGATGAATCCTCATGGCGAAGATCACCGACGCCAAAGTAAGGGCAGCGAAGACAGCAAAAGTGATCATAAAAGTCAAGATGACCATCATAGTTCCAGAGAGTGTGTTGATAAGCGCCAAAGCAAAAATTTCTATCAAAATATTCATCGGAATAAAAAGCGGAAACGGGAAGATCGTCGACGCTTCTGTGATGTCTGGAAGAAATACTTTTCAAAAAAGACTCAAAGCAAAATAGACCGTAAAAAATATCACTCAGACGAGAGCCACAGCAAAACTGACGGCTCCGTGAAGAAGACCAACCGAATGGAAAAGCCTGAAAGCTTGAAGAATGGGAGTGGATTTTCATCTCAGGAAAATGAAGGTAATAATGAAGAAAATGTTAGCAATACAACACACGCCATAAACACTGAGAAGAAGAAAAATGAACAAAAAATCGAAGAAAACTTTTTACGGCAGGAGAAAGTTATCAGTCTTCACAAAGATAATTCCTGTGCTGAGACCAGCCTCTTCAGTTCCAAGGAAAACGACAAACAAGGTGACAGAGAACAGGGTAATGCAAATAACAGAGTGAAAAATACTGGACAAACTAACTGTGAAAAACTTTGTGTGAACACCCACCAGAACGGTCCGTCTCTTATTACCACTAACCCGTTCGGTAAACTCGGCTCCTATGCTAGCGATAATAATGTCAAGCCAACTACTAAGGTTCCTGGAGCTGGGAAAGTAATTGCTGCGACGTGTTCCACAGTTTCTAACGAGGACCAGAAAAGTCATGATAGCCATATTAGTGCCACCTCCTGCCTTGAAATTACACCAGAGGAGAGAACAGATTTTTCTAAGCTAATTCGTAACGGTGTTAGCATTTCAAAAGCTGTTCCTGCTCCTAAAGTTGGATCAATTCAAGAAAACCGTAATATAAAGAAAAGAAAATATGATGAATCAATGCGTGCTTCTTCAAGTGACTCTTTGCCTACTACTGTTGGCCAGAAGTATCTCAGAGTATCTTCGGGTATTGAAACCAACAATGATATGGTAAAAACAACCTGCGACATCTCTGAAGCAGTTACGAGTGAAGCAAATAGGTCTGTAGAAAGCAAAGTTCAAAATCGAGTGACGAAAGCGGAATTGGTTGGCAGTGTAGGAAGTAACTACCAGAACGGGAATGGCGGCGAGCCCAAAAAACATTCTTTGGGCGGCCAAAACTCTATGGCTTCGACATCTGATGCTTCGAATGATTCAGATATATTTCTCCCTTGCATCAACTCTGCTGAAAATATCCCTGGTCAGGAAAGTTCAGTGTCAGATTGTGAATTTAACGATTCGCTTGCATCTCACTCAGGAAAAGTTTCGGTCATGGTCGAAAAGTTAGACTTACGTGTCATGGGAGGTATGACGACCATTGATTTAGGATCGATTGATGTCTCTCCGCAAAAGGTTGGCTTATCTGCGGAGAAAATGCCGTCTGCGATTGATGGAACTCGCAAAAAGGATCATGGATACGATCCCTGTCGAATATTATTCACGCCTCTCAAAAGTAGGAATGATTTTTCAGTGGATCGATCAACTAGTAAATGCGAGACTGCGTCATTGTTCAGTGTTGGTAGTCCGGGCAAGAATAATTCGACGATAACAGGAGCCTCGGATGAAACTTCTGAACAATACCGTAAACGACGTTTATCTGAATCAGTCAGTGGTTCAGGCCAAGGTAGTTCTGTGAAGAAACGTCGACTTGATGATACCCCCAACATGACTGTTAGTGAGTACGTCAACAAACATTGGCGCGGGCTGCTTGCGTCCCGCACCAAGAATGTTCGACAAAACTTGACTCGACGGAACCGCCTCTTGCCTGTAGACGTGAACCTAACTTTGCTACCCTCATATCCGTATGGAAGCGCGCGAAAGGGCTCCTTCAAAATTCAAAAGCTCTGGAAAAATACTTATGGCTTTTTGACGCATGCAGGAACTTCTTCATACAGAATGAAAGAAATTAATTACGCCGCTAAGAAATTCCTTCCCATGCAATTGAAACGCTTGTCTCGTCCTCCGAAATCATCTGCGTCTTCGCGAGCTCTTGGGAAGAGGAACAAAGCCAGAAAGAATGCGAAGAATTCTTGTCCTTCTGGAAACGTGGGTTACGACATTTGGAAGAAGGCTGTGCAAGAAGAATATAATCTTAGGAGAGTATTGAGAACTCCAACTCGCTCCAAGGAAGTGGAAGACACCTCAGAAAGTGTGTCTTCTGCTAACTCTAAGCCGTTAAGATCTATTGTTGCGAAGAAGGAAAAACTACGAAGTCTAATTACTGACAGTATCGAACGTGTTCTTTCACGAGTGAGAACAGACATTGACACTGAAAATGCTGAAACTTCGGTACCGAATAAGAAAGTCACGCTCGATAAGACGTCGAAAAGTTCTTCAACTGAGGATACGAACGACCAAAGTAGTGAGGTGAATTCGGACAACCAAGTATCTCAAACAATTATCCCGAAAATTTCTGAAGATGAACCCGAAGACGAGAGCGATCTCACTTTAGTTGATGATCTACTGAGTCAAGAAGAATGGGATTGTATCTCGATGACGCTACGTGAAGAAGATGATTACACGGATGATACTCAGTGCGATGAAGAGGCGACTGAGCCGAACCAAGGCAATTATTCGAACCTCTCTGCCAGAGATGAAGGTTCTTCTTCAGATGCATGGCTTTCAATCCCCTCTTCTACCACGATCAAACGTGCGGGAGGAGAGAATGTCTCGAATCGAGATTTAGCCCAAAGCAATGATTCCAGATATAGTTTAGGAAATAGAAACACAGTTGATGTAACTACACATGGCCAGAGCGGCGATGCTCAGAATTATTTGTCTGCTGATAGCACCAGAGCACTTCAGAAACGCAATGTGTTATCAATGAGTCCTGCAAGAAGTACGTCATCCGTGCGGCCTGAAAGTGGAAAAACAGAGGAAAGAAAGAGTTCAATTTCATTCACTTCTCCTGTGCGCAATGCACCACTACACATAAACATTGCTGATAAAACTGATCTTGAAAACATTGCTACGCGTCCTCTGTCAACTAATTCTAGTACTTCGCAAATTTTGGACAGAAGAGACTATCAAGTCAGAGTTGATGATGGTGTAATAGGCTCTACTGTTGAACCTCGATTGTCCTCTTCGCATGCTAGGGACGAAAGTCAATCAAACAAGAGTTATCCCACGAAAGCAGTGCATGTTAATGAACTTCATCGTCGCCACGAGCCAGCCGCCGATGTAACTTCCCTACAACTTCGAGAAAACCCGCACAAGTTTCTGGCCGATACTCGGCCCAAAGGTACATTTTCTTCCACAAGTTCAAGTCCAGAGAGTCGGTGCTCGACCACCTCATCAAAATCTGTACCGACAGTTGCAACGACTTCACATTCGGCTCATTTAGCTGAAGCTTCGACGGCAGCCTTTACCCGTCGTTCGGAGGTCGAGAGACTAGTTCAACCTCAGCCTTCGCCTAGGACGGCTTCAGCAGCACCAGTGGCGATTGCCGCAACTGATGCTGTCAGCAAGGTATGTGGTCTTTCGTATTATATTCTGTGGTTCAGCAATACTATTTGCAACCTGAAAAGTATGTCTTATCATATAAATTGTTCGCAGCTCAGTTGAGCTGATGATGTTTGATGGTGGTGATTTTCTAATGGACTCCCACCATTTAGCTAGTATCTTAGGTTATTCAATAATTCATTTCATTTGTTCGCTTCTCAAATACAATTGGCTTCATGGCCACGCGTTCTGTGCGGAAATTTCATTGCATCTGTTATTAAGACACTAACAATTCCACATAATTGTGCGTCAAGTAGGCATATAGTTGTGCGCTTGATACGAGTGTCCGGAAGTTATTTCAATCCAACTTGACTTTAGACACATTTACTCTACATAACACTTTCCTCATACCTGCATGTTAAATTATTTTGTTCAAACTTTATTTTTTATTTGCTACCGCAGTATTGGAACAATTGAAAGGTTTGTGCACTGTATTTATTTGTTCTTTTATCGCATAATTGATGCATTGGTGTTGCTTGTAGACAAATACGTACTCGAATGTTTCTGAATAGTACTTATGATCTTCCAACATCTCATTGTACTAATAGTTTTGACCTTGGTTTTTATTTCAGGCCATCCTAGAGAAGATATACGGCAATTGTGTTGGAACCAAGATAAGGTTCCACTGCGGCTTGGTTGTGCCGGCTTTTATATTCCGTAACCATAAAGGAGTGTTCATTTTCCATTGCAATTCATGTAGGTATTACACTTCTTCTAAAGAAAAATATAAGAGCCATCATGCGCAACATATTTTGGACCAATGTCTACAGTGTCAGAAGTGTAGCTTCAAGGCTTCGTGCGAGCTTGAGATGACTGTCCACGCCAGGATGCATGCGTCGGACAAATCAAAATGTTATTGTGAGGATTGCGACTTCGTTGCTGAAAACAAAGGCTCCATAGAGAGGCACGTAATGGTGCACGTCTATGCACGAGATGGCACTCTGGATGGGTTCATCGAATTGTACTCGACCGGAGGAAGAAGTGGCACTGACATGCGTTGTCCCTTCTGTGAAGAATATTTCCCTGACATGCTGCAGGTCCGCAGTCACGTACGCGTGCATACCAACGCTCCAGTGATCACGTGCGATGAGTGTGGCTTCGTGAGCTACTCACGTCTGGGCCACGCTAAACACGTGCTCGTTCACTGCAAACAAGAGACCTTGAAGTGTCCTCACTGTCCTTACATTACCGAAAATACGAACGAAATGAAACTTCATTTCTTCACCCACCTGTAAAAGTACATGGATGTTATTAGTAAGGTGTCGTGTGGTCTCTTCAGGTAGTGAGCTGCGCTGTGATTTACTTATATTGGTGCATAATCTTAATTTGGTTTGCATTAAGTTAATATATTTTTTTAACTCCTCAACTGCATCTTAATTCAAAGAGTGCAACCTCTCATACGAATACATGGTTAGGACTGCTCTCACAATGCATGTGTAAACTATTAATTAATCAGAATCTCAACTAATTATAAAATTTGTTCGCCTTTATATTGAATTACACACGATCCATTCATTTTCGTATAGCTGACCTAGCAATATTTCAATTTTATGAATTGTTGCAATTTGTGTGGAGTATCAGTGTATCTTATATTGGAATGCACGAGTTTCCCCACTTTCACTAACTTTAAGATTCTCTTGTTACCATCCTTCACTGTTGCTTTCTGATATTGTTGATTCATGATTTTACCTGCTTGAGAGCGAACCGATGTGACCTATTGTTTGTTACTGAACTGTGTGCTCGTGACTTAGATGTAACACATTCTCTTGCTAGTTATCATTAAAGCTGATACTGTCCCAACGAATGTTAATTAGTGTTTTGAATTACTTCATTGTATCATTTTAACCTTTTGCCACACCGCTTCATATTTGCGTACATTGTGACGGAACAAGTTGTCTGAATTACGGCAATTTTTTCTGGTTGATAATTTCAATTTTAATATATATTGATGAGGATTCTATAATAATTTTCCTTTGTGGTATTTAGATGGCTACTCCAACACACGTAAAAGTAATATTTGTGGCTTACAAAGTTTTCTATTTCTATAATTAGTTTTCCATCACATTAACTTTTGTTGGTATTTTTCTCGTAACAGTTTTTTTCTGAATGCTCATCATAGCAGAAAATATTTAGCTTTAAACCTGTCAATTGCTCTACTTCCTTGAAAGCGAAGTGAATAATTTCAATGGAATTCTCAGTTTAAATAATTGAAGGTACATCGACTTGAATGTCAGCAAAAACAGCGGACGAATTGCTTTAGTGCCAGTATCCAAAAACGAGAAACTTGGTTATGGTTAATCATCACCTGCGTCATTCATATTTCACTAGTCTTGGTGTCAGCTAATCGAACGGAACGCCTCAGGGTTATCGCAACTAAGTCGTTACGTCAAACTAAACTAAAAATATATTTTGATAATCCAATATTTTTTTAGTTATTTATTTTATTTTTTTTTTTTGTGCAAAAAGTCGACTCTTGACAGCTCATCAAAATTTAAACAAAGTACGAACTCGTAATCAGTCGTAAAATCAAATCGTAATCAGCTCAGTCTGATTCAGTCGTACCTACCTAAATCAAAACCACTGTACAGAGTTGCTGCAAGTCCAACTAACGTAGATACAAAAAAAAAAAAAAAACACGGGTTTTAAAGTACTAAAGTAGCCTACTTCTACTATAGTACGTAGGGGATTAAGACTTCTGTGGTTAGCACGTTTGTGTATTTTAAGATGAAGCAACAGGCTAAATTCATTAAATTGTTGAATTATTTAATATATCAATGTCTAGTCTACAAGCTGCAAATAGAACTTTCTTTTTCCTGCCATTTTAATGATTTTATTAGGTGTAAGATTCTTACTAGATATATTCATCATAATTTTATCAAAATTGTATTGCATGAAGAAGCCATAAGAATAATAATAAGATTCTAAAATTATATATGTTACGGTGTTACCTACTTAGTCTTTTGAGAATTTGAGCAGCAATAAAAGGGTATCAAATGATGAAATTTTGAATCTTGTTTTGCCAGGAGTCCCACTCCCAGGACATGCTATGTAGTTAAAGAATCACATGAATTATGCAAAATTCAGAAATTGTACCCTGCAAAATTGCACATAAATTATAGTGGCAAACAAGAGATTTTTTGGAATCAGTTCATTTTTAACTTACGCGTCTACTCAAGATATAAACCAATAGCCTGTATCTCACTCATGTATGAATAACAGTATGATAATGCATGACATGAATGTAATATGTATGACAATGATATGACATGAATGACCATGGTCGGCTCATTCCAATCCATGGACCATGAAGTCCATGATACTTTACTGATCTACTTACATGCCTCAAATATTAACTTGAGGCAAGTTGAGGGACAGAGCCTCAGAGGGAGTGTGGGTACTGGCCCTATATTGAATAATTCAACAATTTAATGAATTTAGCCTTTTGCTTCATCTTGCACTAAAGTCTAAAGTGGAAAATTGGACAGAATCTATTTGTGAATCAGAAAAAAATGCCTATGAATTATCATGCATATACTACTAAAATATCCATGAAAAAAGTGTGAAAAGTGAAATTTTAGAAAAGTACCTGTGCTAAGGTACCTATGTAGGCTAGCAAAAAAAATATTTGCTGTGTTGATAAATTTTACTTGCAGAAAACAGCTAAAAGAAGCACAGAGGTGTTTGCTTAAAAACGTGAGTAACGGAATACGCATAGCTCATCCCTCCAAAAAATGGCAGCTACTTCTGCATGACAGGGTAATAAGGGACACCCCCCCCAGGGTAATAAGGGACACCTCTTAAGAAAGGAGCCTCCGTCCGGCAGCAATCCAGGCGGGGGCCTCTGCCGATTGGGCCAACCGACTAGTATGCCGGGCATCCAGCTGACACGCTGGCCAAGGTACCCCCACGTCCCACGATGTAGAATGGAGATGTGGCAGAGATTGGTTGCGTTCCCTCCGCAGGGAGATTGCCTCCCGTGTTGTGGCGACTGACGTTATCAACACCATCCTTGCAGCCCCACCACTGCCGAATCACTGGAGGCCTCACTCCCTCGCCCCTACCATTCAGCACTATCCCAGCTCCGCTCGGGATACTGCAGCTCCCTGGCATCCTACTCTGCCAGGATTGGACACTCTCCTAGATCTGCCCTCCCGGAGTAGGGGGATCCTCTAAAGTCCGTCCGGCGTCCAGCATCTCTTTGCCTGCCCTGACCCACCTTCCCCATGTCCCTCAGCGTCTCCTCACTGTGTGACAGTCCCGTGGAGGAAGCGGCGTTCCTGGCTACCCTCCCTGCCTTTGTCCATCTCCCCCTTCTCCCAGTGCCTTCCCCCCTGCCACCACCTGAGCCTCCCAAGAGCAAGTGTGAATCTGGTCACAACTAACAACAACATAAGGATTGGTCTGACACTGTTTCCATTTTTTTGGCCTTTTCATATTTTCTTTCATGAAATGTAAGAAAAGTGACTTATTTTTTACATGTGATTTTTGTGAATCACAAGTGAAATGATTGTTCTTAGCAGCCATTTTAGGAAACTTCTGTCCAATATTCCAAATTGGTATATATAATTTAAACTTCTGCCAAATATAATATGCATGTGCTTGCATGATATTATGAATAAGCACCTCCTATTTATTTCTTAAATATTCATACCCTTAACACTTGGTGGCTGGAGCATGTTCAAAAGATTCTAGACTATGACCAGATGTTGCTTGGGGCTTATGATGATATATCCAGGATACTTGTCAAGTTGTCATGATGGTTAGATGGTATATTACCTGGACTTGAAATTTCATGCTTGGTTCAAGAACTAGGAATAACTTAAGACAAAAAAGGAAAGTTTTTGATCAAAAATTTGATTTTGCACTTGGTTAATATAAATTTTATTTCCCTGATCCATAGTGATTGTTTCAAAATTTGAAAATGAGAGTAAAGTGGGAGTCCTTTCTTCTATGAATATGTGTGTTTGAAGGGGTTTTCTTTGTGTTTGAATATGTGTAAAGAGGTAATATGTGTGTTTGAAGGGGTAATTGAAATGTGTAAGCTTTATTATTTAACCATATTAAGGATGACAGGACTTGGGATAACAGGGTTCCAAAATTGCAGGAATTAACAATCCCAGGAAACACTGGGCTAACCTGCCAGTCGCTTTTAAAGATTCAGGATTGATCCTCAAGATTTCAATCTTGAACAAATTTAGAAGTCAGGCAATGCAGTAATTACCTAGTTCAACTTATTCCTAACTCAATGCTCAGGGGGAAGGGCTATAATTAGACTCCTGCGTTTGTTTTTTTTTTTTTTGTATCCAAGACGAGACGAGACAACAGGCTCTGTCCCGGTTCGCAATAAAAACCGGGACAATTTTCAGCCGTCCCTAGGAATTCTGGGACAATGACGAGACGAGACATCCCGGTTAAAATAGGTAGCTTGAAATTTCCTGGAATTTATAGCCATTTTAAGGAGACATAACAAGAAATAATGAGATAAATCATTTATTGATGTTGTGTAAACTCTGGCTTACCATCATACATTTATATAATAACTTGAGACATATCCTTTTACTATTCTGATTGGAGCTCGGTAATTGAAATGGTTTTTGCTACGAATACATGTTGTGGTTTAATATGGTACCGTCAACTGGGGTGACTTCGGCCGCCGGGGTGACTTCGACTTCGGCCAACATTTATGATTTTGTTTTGCGGCCATCTGTTTCTGTTATAGCTGTGTTATGTGCTTGGAACAAAATGGTATCCAATGTAGTTTTTTATTACCTATCGATTGGAAACTTTTGTTTCAATAATTTTATATCCTGCTTGACCAACACAATCTGAATGCCACAGTACTGTAAATAAAAAAAAAAAACCTGAGTGCAAACTTCAATATTTTGAGATACGAAAAGAATTTTGGAATCAGATGTGTTTCACTTATTTTGGTATCTTTATAATAATTATATCAATGGCTATATGTTTTTTACCAATTGTAATATATATGCTTGAAAAATTAGCTGGCCAAAGTCACCCCATAGTATATGGGCTAAATGGGGTGACTTTGGCCAGCCAATAAATGTTTAGAATAACATATTTTTCTTCTTTTTTCAGACAATATGCGCGGCTATAAACGTAAATTAGATCCTGTGCCGTATAGGATATATTATGAGGAGTCGTTTAAGAAAGCATTGCAATTGATGAAAGATGGTGTTTAGCTTAAGAGAAGCTGCTAATATTTGCGAAGTGCCTCGTTCAACTTTGAGCGACCAATGTGCTGGCCGTCATGCAAAAAATTTAGGACAGTCTATATACTCATTCACCTACAGAGGAGTCAGATTTAGTATCCTACATTATTCTGCTTTCAGACTGGGGCTTCCCATTAGATGGTGGTATGAATCGGTGTTTTTTGGTTGAAAATTACCTTGACAAACTGGGTCGCACTTTACGTAAGTTCATGGGTCGCACCTCTATCAAGCATCATTGGTTTTTTGAAGAATGCTTGAGATCCCATGGGGACTAGATTTTTTCAAACTTTCACATCCAGCTGCCATTGAAATCGACAGAAAGCAGCCTTAATGAAGCATATGATTCACAAATGTGGGTTTTACATTTGTGTTACAATTTTTATAATAAGCACACAGTGGCATTGATTATCATTTTTTAAAACACCCTAGGTGGCCGATGCCACCCTGTTAATGGTTTAATTTGGCCTCAAAATCATTTTACCATGTTTTTACTGTGTTTTAACACATGTGGCCGAAGTCACCCCATCGCGGGGTGACATCGGCCACCCAGCTAACTGAAAAAAATATATTAAGCGATAAAAGTGACATAATTTAGACATGACATATTCAAAGAAGAACCTTTCAGTACTATATTTCCAAATTTCCAATCACCAGCAATGCCTCATTCCTATTTTGTAGGAATTTGATTGACAGAAACTAGAGTAATTTGGTTGAAGTCACCCCAGTTGACGGTACAGCAATCCCTTGATTAGCACGGTTTTGAATACCGCGGTTTTGATTAATGCGGAAAATTTTTTTGCGACCTACCCTTAATCTACGCGGTGCCAGTTTTGATTAGCATGACTTTTTTTTCACAACGCATCATTTTCCCGCCTCTAGCCAGAGGTGTTACGTTCGTAACAAAAGTGTTACTTTTTGCTTATTAGATCTTATGTTGTTACTTTTGTTACAACTTTGGGAAAAATTCGCCAAATGTTGTTACTTTATGAATTTCAGCCAATAATTCTTTAAATAAGGTCCCGCTCCGTAGGCACTCGTGCTGACTACAGAGTCGGTTTAACCGTGCCTTGTCTCGTTCATAACTCGAATGGTCGAGTTCGGCAACGTTCGCCGGTAAGTGTGCCATGCCGGTGCTCTAGTTACTCGTTCAATTGAAAAAACTAAAGAAATCTTAAGAAAAGTAGACCCAAATGAAGAAAGAAGCATGAATGTTTGCCGTGGCCTGGATAAGCAAGTGAATTGCTATCGCACAATTATGCAGGAGAGAAAGAAATCTACTGTGCAATTGAAATTGGATTCATTTTTCAGTAAAAAATAAATGTTAATTCATTTGCATTTCTTTTATTTATTTCCCCTATTATTCAGAAAAAAATATGATGAATTTTAGTGGAAAAAAAATTATTATGTAACTTTGCTATTTTTGAGGATTCATTATAATTATTCCCATATATTCTTAAGTTTGATTAGCGCGGTTTTGCTTAACACGGTAAAACTCGGGGATTTATTAACCACGTTAATAAAGGGATTGCTGTACTTAATCTTGACAGGCAAATAAAATGGAAAAGCACATTATTTATTTTCCAAAAATTGTGTTCTATGATGGCCTGAGGAGGCCATACTAGCTGTAGCCTGGTGACATTGGTTGACTGGACAGACTATGAGATTTGCCTCCAGCTCAATCATAGAATCAGATTCATTGATCTTGCCTTGATCAGTCTCCTTGAAAAAAAGTCTGGAAAGAAATATCAACAAAATTTAAGTTGGAAAAAATATGATAGTTTGATCTTTAAAAAAAGAACTCAAATTATCCATGTGTTAACTTTACAAATAATGTTAAGGGGGGGGGGGTTTCCTCCAGAAAAACTTCCACATTTACTAATGGATCTTTCTGAAACTTCACACATATATGTAAAACCAAAATACAAGCACATTTTGTACATATGATTTTTTTGCAAAAATTTAAAGAAACTGTGAAATTCATAGAAAATGGAAAAAAGGGGTACTTTGAAAATCTATCTCCTCCTACTGTTTTCAAGCTACAGCATCGAAAGAATACCGTTCAATTCATAAAGATCAAACCAATTGATTAGCACAGCCTGATTTTTTATTTTTGCCACAGTTTTTTTACATGCATTTTCCCATTTTATTCTCATTTTCTTATGATTTCCCCCTCCTTCCCATTTTCAATCCAAACTTTGGCAAACTATGCACGAAACTAAAAAAGGGCTTCGTTGCTCAATAGGTATGGTCTTTACGAATCGAATGGTATATCTTTCAATGCTGTAGCTTGAAAACTGTAGTAGGAGATAGGTTTGCAGTGAAAATAAGTTAACTTTTCAGTAGAGCCCGACAAAGTCCCACGCGCATTGGAATAGGCACTCAATGTAGCAAGGATACAAAACTAAACGTTACTGGAGCTTGATTCCAGTCAAGGATGGTTGGAACAACTGCATGCACACCACCCCATACAATGCCAGGCAGGTAACTGAAGTGCAGCTCAAGCAGACACTCTATTTAAGTGCTTGGCAGCTAATTTCCCCTTATCTTGAATGTTAAAGAACTCCACCACCCCTAACCCTTTAGCGATATGTCGTGAACGCATCAATCAACATACAGAGATGGTTATGGTACTGTTGGATAGTTCAGAATGTCAGCTTTAAGATGAGACTACTAACCGGAAAAGCCAAAATCCAAAATTTTAGGCGATACCCCCTCCCCCTTAAACAAGCATTTAATAACAATTCAGGAAACTGCGCAATTGTGAAGATTTCCTGGAGGCGTTGCACAAAATTTTATGAAAGGCAGAGATAATTTAAAACTAGCTTTAGTATTATTAGGAATATCTTACCAGGACTCCACTCCACTGTCTACTAATTGGCCGACTAATCTAGACACTGCGTCCCTACTCGCTATGCGCTCAGTGGCACCTGAACTCGTTCCAAATGCATAATGAACTCGACTTGTACTCGTACGGTTCCCATAAAGTTCCATGGAAGCCTTAGTCAAGACTTAAGGGTAACATTTTGTACTCAATACTCAGCCATACATCAACAGGTTTGAGGTGTTTGTTGGACCACTAATTAACTGCCTTGTCAGTTAGTCAGACAAATTTTGCTAAATCTGCTATTAACTCAATTTAACTGGTAACTGTCTATGGCCCTATTAGCAATAAATGGCTAACTTGTCATTCTTCAACCCATGTTTTCGAAACAATTCTTATCGTAATTGAAAAACTTGTTTTTTTTTCTCAAATAATTATGACAAGTCTCGTCTTGTCTCATTTTGTCTCACTTCAAATCTGTCTGTCTCGTCCCGGTTCATAATTTACCGGGACACAAGTTTTGAAGTCTGGGACAGAAGTCTTGTCTCAGTTCATACATTTATTTTGGGAAAAATTTTACCCTCTGTCCTGTTATTTTTTTCCCCAGAATTTTCTTGTCTCGTTTCATGTCCCAGTTCATTTAGAGAAAATTATTTTGAGATGCAGGAGTCTAGCTACAATTTCTTAAAATTCTTTATTTATAGTTGCCAATAGAAAATCTCTCAATTGTCACTATGTTTTAAAAAGCTTGCAGAACTTTATTGCTGGAAATTTGAGGCTCTGTAGTCTCGTATCTGAATCAATTAGGAATTTAATGGCACAAACTTTTGGGTTTAAATCAAATTGAAATCTTGCAGGTGTAAAAAAAAACCTTGATACACAAAAATACTGGAAATCTTCTGCAGAATTGTCCTATTGAGTTTCATTTTTCCATGTGACTCTAAGGTAGACTGGGCAGAAGGTAGTGATAGCCATGTCTGATCTCAATAGTATTCACTGTGGTAGAAACTCAGCACCATACAGGAAGACTGGTTGACAAGTAACGGCAGCAGTATATAGGTATACTGGAGTATCAGAATATGCATGTATGAGCTTGACAATGGGTGGCTGAGGACTGACACACTGGTGGTGTGTGCCAAAGGCACTTATCATTGCCCTATGTAGCAGAGTCCTGCGACATCACTGAAAGTGAAGTTTGTAACCAGTGGCTATGGCTGGGACAGTGATGTAGATAAAAGGATTAAAAAATGATAGATAAAAGGATTAAGTCCCAATTGCTTGATAGATATGTACTTAACCTGATCATGTTGCTTGTCAATGATGGATTATAACTTGATTCAATTGACTGTATGGTCTTACGCAGTTTTATTTTCTTGAAAATAGTTGGTCTCAAAAGTTTTCTTTGTGTTTAGTAACATTGGAGAGACCTTGTAGGTATAGAGTTGGAAAGTAAACCATCAGGTGAGATAGGCATTAAGAAAAGTGTATTTGGCTAACTTGAATTATCATTGAAACCAAAATGTTTAATTTTATTTTTTTTTTCAGAGTGAAAGCTTATAATGAATCGTTTATTTGGAAAGGGGAAAAGTAAAGAACCTCCCCCCAGTCTCAATGACTGCATTGCTGGAGTGGATGGCAGGGCTGACTCCATTGATAAAAAAATTGCTCGCCTTGATGCAGAGCTCATTAAATATAAAGATCAAATGAAAAAGGTTTGTACCTGAGAAGTTTTGAGAGGATAAATTAAAACTATTTAACATGATTATACGCTATTACAAAAAATTCAGTCACATTTAAGACCTCATGAAATATTTTCATCTTTCCATAAAATAATCATAAAAGTAGACTCACAAAAAAATTTTGTCCCATTTTTATTTATAAATATGATAAATAAAATATTACAAAAGGTTGGTTTAGTTTTTTCTTTGTTCTATTTCTAGATGCGAGAAGGTCCAGCTAAAAATGCTGTCAAGCAGAAGGCACTTCGAGTTTTAAAGCAGAAAAAAATGTATGAGCAACAATCAGACAATCTTCGGCAGCAGAGTTTCAACATGGAACAGACAAATTACGCCACACAGTCACTTAAAGACACTAAAACAACAGTTGCTGCCATGAAACTTGGAGTGAAAGACATGAAAAGAGAATTTAAGAAGATCAATATTGATGAAATTGAAGACCTACAAGTAAGTTATGCGTTTGCTTTCAGTACTATAGGTAGCTTATGTTCATTTTCAAAATGAATTTATTTTACTCCTGCTATTTATTCTTGGAATTTAAAAGTTTTCTTGAATCAGTTCTGCCATTTCTGTATTTTTTTTTTTGGGGGGGGTCTTCATGATGACTGAGTGTGAATTTAGGTTAAAAGCAGTAGTAAAGCAACCTGTGATAGATTTTTGTGCACCATTTTGTGCCAACAATGTTTACTAATTTCAAATCTTCCTACTATTCTAATGATAGAACATTTTTTTCACCAACTGTTTTTACTGGCTTTAAAGTTAACCCCTGTTTTCATTTTTTTTAATTTACTGTATTTGCTAACAATTATCTCAATGTCATTGATTGAAATACAATGATGTGAAGAGATGTTTCGAATTTTTTATCAATTTCTTGGCAGAATGCATCAAAGGCCATTCAATTTTAATGCTGTCCGTCAAAATCTACTATTATTTATGCATAATAATTTTTCACTCAGCATATTTATAGATAATGTAATTATTATGCATTAAACAATAATAAATGCCTTTCCTTTTGAGTAATGAAATATTAAATGACATATTCTGTACTTCAAGGACGACATGGCGGACATGCTGGAGCAGGCGGACGAAGTACAGGAAGCTCTGGGCCGCAGTTACGGCACGCCTGAGATCGACGAGGATGACCTACAGGCCGAGCTGGACGCCCTGGGCGACGAGATGCTCATGGACAACGACAATACATTCCTGGACGAGGCCATCAACGCGCCTAACGCTCCCTCCAAGGAGCCTGGTGCCGACACCGTCAAGGATGGTCTGCCTGTCGACGAATTTGGACTGCCTCAGATGACGTCCTAAGTTGGTGTGCCTTCCGTCTTGTTCAAAGGAGCATGAACAGACGTCCTGGTGTTCCTGAGTTATTTGAAATGCTGAAGGAATGTGCAGTGGAGACGGATATTTTATATTTTGCTGTAACTCGGTTTGATTATAACATTTATATATTTGTCACAAAATAATCAGAGTGGTCCAGTGTTTACCGAACTTTTGTAGATGTGTTACTAAGAAACATACGTAGGAAGTTTAGTCATATAGGTATATGCATTTTTCAGCTTGATTTATGAGTCAGTATATTACGTTATGTAGTAAATTTTATTGATTATTTCTTTTATATTAAAACTATTTTCGTTCACCCTTGTATCTCAACAACGCCACACCTTTTTCATGAATTATATCAACATCTACATTTTATAACCTTTGGATTATTATGCTTGATTTTGTGATCGCCACGCGGCTGAAGTTAACTCGTAAGGTCAGCTGTAATATGCTTCTGGTTGCATTTTCTTTGGCCTGACTTTCAGACGGAGTTGCTTCTCGTCCCTGTGGACACAATAGCTTTAATAGTTTATTGACAAATGAATCGTCGATACTTCAAACTCTTCTATTAATCTCTCCTTTAGATTTTTTTTAGTTCTGTTATTGAACGAATGGTGGTGCTATAATTCTCTTGCATCCTAGTGCATATTTGATTGGTGAGGGTATCGATTGTAGTTGAAATCCGTGGTAGGAAAAATTTGTGGTGTACCTCGTCTTTAATTCGTTTTATTATTTACATGGTGCAGGACCGATTTGACTCAAGTATTTCTTTCCAAATTTAAAAATCGCACGATTCTCAAGCTTCGAACCGACACGTCTGTACATGTTAAAATTTTTATTTTGGTGTTGTCTTCGTGAAACCTTCATTGTATTCCCTTATGACAATGCAATTAACTGGGGCTCATAGTGTTTTACTTGAAGCAAATATTGCTTTACAAATTTTCCCTAGTACTTTGACCGAGCGTTATATTTCGACATATTTCACGTACCTTTAGAAAAACTTTTAATCGACTCTACCGAGGGTCATGAATATAAGTATAAAATTTTCGGTTCTTTGAGTGGTTCATTTGTCTTTCTCTGCCTTTCCATGTCTTTACTTTCCAAAAATAACGGTAGATTTGGTATATTACATTATTTTTACAGTTGAGCAAGCGTTTTATGTCCGACGACTGGAACAATTTCGAGTGAATGTACCACGATGAGCAGCAACACTGTCTGTTAAAGCATGATACCGATAATTCTATGACAGTTTTCTTAAAGCTAAATGAACTTGCTTGGCGTAATATTAGGTTGAGGCATCTGAAGTGTTCAAGCCTTGTCTTCAAAAATCAAGCCTTGGTTTTTTATTTAACGTTGAAAGCCGGGATGAGCGAAGAATAACTTTATGAAAACGCTTTCGCAATAAAATATAATTAAAAGATTTATATGATTCTAAGATGGACTTATTGACCTCAAAATTTCATTTGCTGAATATTTTTCTGAAAGCTGAACAGGCGCGTGTCATCTGCAGGTTCGTCAAATGCCTTGTGCAACGTTTCTCGCCTACACGGTGATTGATAATTAATTTGCTGTGCACATTTCACAAGTCCTTAATTTTTTAAAATAAAATTTCCATGTTAATTTAGACAGAATTCTTGCTGAAGTAAATATTTTTATCCTAAACAATAACGGAGAAATTAAGAATCGCAAAAAATCAATTATGAATAACGAATTAGAAGTAAATAAAAACCAAAGATACGTTTATGTGTCATTTTACTAATCCACCAAAATGTGAATAATAAACTAGGTAGTTTTGAAGGCCAGGATTTTTTTTATTGGCGTACCACTTGGAGGTTCCTTTCAGTCACGTAAACCTTATGACAAAGTGAAGAATACCTCACCCAAAGTCGCTGATGACCTTATAAGTGTTCGAGTATCATTCAGATAGAATACTTTAGTGCGGACACAACAAGCACGATTCGCCGATCCGGCAGGAGCATAGAAGTCTTTACTCTTCGTATCCGATGCAACGCGTTTGATAATCTTTAAGAAAAATACAACAATCATTAGCATCATGGCCGAAGGATCGGTGCGTGATCAAGTAAGTTGAGAAAGAATTGAAGTAATACGCTAATTTAAATTATTTAAATGATTATGTACAGTCGGTACTCGGTAAACATCAACAAAGCCACCAAATGTAGGTACAATATCATGAATATAAATATGATTAATCTCTGCCTTTGACTTTATTCATACGTTTGGTATGTTAGTTACTGACCTTGTAATTTGTGAAAAATGAATTTGAATGGTAAATCTTCATTATTTTAACATTATTGGCTTGCCAGAGTCAGCCTAAGTCAGGATTCAGTAATATGTGACAGGCACACTGGCATAGCCGTATAGAATGTTTCTATCTTTTGCTTTCAACTTTCAAGTTGCAGCTTCCTGTGCAGACTCTAGGTTTTGGCAATTGCTGCCATGATTGGTATTACAGGGTTTGAAGATCTCTATTGTTGAGGAATTGTTGCCTTAGCTGCATAAATCTTCAAGATTTCTTGCCAAAAATGCATGCAAATAGTCATTCAACAAGAAATGTGTTGGCAAAATCTTCTTAGGTCTGATTTTGATGCTGATATGTTGCCAAAAATTTTTAAATTTTGCCTCACTCTCTGTCTGTGTACTCCTTAGTTGCAAACTTGCAAAGCAGAGAGTTTTGTAGAGTGTAGACTCTTCCTCAAGTTCAATTTTGAGTCCTATAAGAAAACCAGCCAAGTATATTGTGGATCAGTCATCAAGGCTGAAAAAGTCCTTTTTTTCTGAAATTTTTTGGCTCTAATATCATATAATTTCTGTAGGTATGAAATTTCATGGCTCTAATCTAGTCTGGAAAAGTCCTATTTTTGTCTGAAATATCGCGGCTCTAATATCATATAATTTCAGTAGGTATGAAATCTCGCGGCTCGAATGTCATAAATTTTTGTTTGATTAAAAATCTTCGCAAACATGTCATTTCATAAAATTTTCAACTTCCGCAATCAAGTATAGACCTGTATTTTGCATGTTTCAATTTAAGTTTAATTTAGCTAGTAAAAAAATGGCATCATTTATAAAAAAAAAGTGGTCTAAGTTACCCATTTTACGGTACTTTGAAAATCCAGCCAAAATATCCTGCACAACATAATAATAAGTCAATCTAAAATGTTTCCTTAAAGATCGCATAGTTGTGGTCACGTCAGAGCGGTCAGACTGCATTTTCACTTAAGCAGTTGCCACTTAACTCTTAAGTGAAAACAAATGTTAGTATTGACTGTTTTTAGGGTAAAACTAGAGATTAGGGGTAACATCATCACCTGCATGGGACTTAGTAAAAAGTTCACTACTGCCAGCTTGTAAATGGCTTTTAATGGCTGAGATATGGAATTCACAGCTCAAAGAAATTAAATCACAGCTCAAAGAAATGGAATCACAGCTGGCAAATCCATGAAACCATGGCTCCAAAAATTCAGTCATGGCTTGCCAACTTGGCGAGCCATGACTGAAATTTTCTGGAATTCTAGAGGGATAATAGAATTTTGGAATTAATAGAATTTAGGAATTCTAGAGGGATAATAAATTAACCAGTACACATAGCATATTGGAAAGCAGGACCTGAAAGCTTGGAAAGGCCAGGAACTTTATACTTTGTCTATTATTTACATATCCTATCCCTTTCCAGAATTCCATTTGTGATTGGTTTGTTATTTTAGCCACTTTCAGCTTTCCAGCTTTGATTGATAATGGAATTGTAATATTATCTGCTTTCAAGCTGTGATTGGCTGATGGGGATGCTTACAAGCTGTGATTGGTTGTGCCCATAAGCCCCGCCCCCAAGTATGGTACGGTATATGTAATACAGTACTGGTTAACTAAATACTTAACTGAAACTTGATCATTACAAACAAAAGGCCTGGAAATTTTTTAAAAAACCCAATAAA